TAAGGTTAGCTTGGATTAAAACTCATTTCCACATAAAAGGAGTACAGTATCACCTTTGGGAAAAGGAATAAAATAAACTGCAGAAAACATGTTTTCTGTTCAGTGGCGCCGTGCCTTCAAGATCTGAATATTATCATTATTATGATTTTTTAATTTCCTACATAAATAAATTTTAAGTGATTTTATTCATAAAACTGAATTTCATTATTTGACTAAATTTTAATGTGAATGACTAATTTCAACACCATACAGACTGGCACCACTGGTTTCCGTCTGGAGGAGATGAAAATGGTTATTCTCGCTTGTGTCGACGGGCATGTTAGAGACGGGCAGCAGACATTACCGGAGTCACACACTACATCCACCAAACGGGCCGGTATGACGTCATCGATGGCTATTTGACGTGAGACACGGAGGCAAAACGGGGTTTAGAGGAGGTGGAGTTGAGGTTACCACAGTGTAGTGATGGTTTGTCAGACCACAGCTTACATCTCAGAAACAGTCCAGACTTGACCCGACATTAGGGGGGTCAAAGGTGTAGGGTGGCTCGCGGCTGACCAAGGGTTATAGGTCAGCCAGGCTCCCCTCTCATATCACACGGCCCACCTGATGATTTCTCCAGAAGATACAACTTATAGTCTCTGAAAAAGACCAGACCTGACCCTACATTAGCGAGGGCAAATGTAAGGAGACCCTTCGCCGCCCCCCCCGATCAGCTCAACCTGACGGCTCGCCTCCCAATATATAGGACGTCCTAGTCCTCCCTCTGCCCAGACAGGCAGCCACAGAGAGAGAGAGAGACAGAGAGAGAGTGTGTCTTGTAACCAAGAAGGGCGAGCTACTACACCACCAGGCCTGCTCGAGAGAAGTCAGGGGCCGGAGGCAAGCCGCCTCCGGCCGCCTCCGGTCAGGAGCGAGTTGCCCTCAACACACCAGCGCCCAGCTAAGCAGTCTCCCATAGAGACAACCCAGGACCACCTGCTAGGCCTCCCCTAGATCACGTGAGTGTTTGTCAGAGCTTTCCATGGGATGAGTTACTTACGTGGGAAGTGTATTCATTTCATGTTCGTGTCCGAGAATCAGTGTCTAGTAACGTAATATGATGTCCTAGTAACGTAAACATAATGTCCTAGTAACTTCAATAGAAGGTGTTATTAATGTGTCCATGTCATGTTCGTAATTAATACAGAGTTGTAACGAAGCGGTGTTTGAGAAGTCGCCCTTAAGACGTAAGATAAGTGTATTGACAGTGTAAATAACTATCAAGGCCACGCTACCAAAATCTTCCTCTCTTTATACTCTTATACTATCAATATTCTACCTATATGTAATCTTCTTCTTGTGAGATTCGTCTCATTACAACAGCGACCAAGGGTAGTAGGTAAGGCAGGCACACAGCATCAACAAGCGGCTGGCAGCCGAAAGATAAATATGAATCTAAGGATCGTATATAAATCCCTTTCGCCTCGACCAACAACACGACTACAGTAACACGTGACAATGGTGTCATCCCACTTGGACGATTCCCAGAAAGACGATTATAGCTAAAAAAAAAAGTTCTTATAAATACTGTATTTATCACCAGCGAGAATGTGAACAGAATGACCACTTCACATATTATATTTATGAACGGCACATTCAAGTTAACACTAATCTTCTCAATTCGAAAAGATCATATGGCCAAAGAAGACATTGTATTTAATCCAATTAGTATTTGTTCGAAAAAAGGCTAACAAAGTACTTGGGCTCATACAAAGGAGTATTAGTTACAAGACTAGCGAGGTTATCCTTGCAAGACCTCACTTGGATTATACAGTTCACTTTTGGTCACCGTACTACAGACTTGATATCGAATTCCTAGAAAGCATATAGTATAGGAGGATGGCGAGACTAATCCCGGGCATTAGGAACCTTGAGGAAAGAGACAGATTAAAGCATCTGAATTTGCACTCCCTCGAGAGACGTAGAGTGAGGGGCGATATGATCGAGGTGTATAAATGGAAGTCAGAGTTAAACAAAGGTGATATGACAAAGGTACTCAAACTATTCAAACAGGAGCGAACTCGTAGCAATGGTGTTAAAAATGTCAAAATTAGATTTAGGCGCTAATAGGCCAGCTGCAGTTTTGTACATTCTTATGTTTTTTATGAGAGCGGGCTTATGGCTGCTCTACGTCTCATAACCTGAATAGTCGTATGTTGTTATTACTGATATAAATAACAATGAATTTCATTATTCCTAATAAAATTGATATTTTTTATTATTCTCTATAATAAAATATTCTTAATATAATTTATAATATACTCGTATTCCTGTAATTCATTCATCCTAATATAATTTTATATTCCTCTAATAAAAATGGTATTTCGAATAGAATTTGTGATGGATGGATGATCCTTATCTATAATCATACAAGTCGGAATCGCTTTTCCGAGAGTCGTCTAAGTGACATGTAATTGTGAGAACATCCACTAGCATATGATAAGACATTACCGGATAACATATGGCAGGATAACACAGGACACGACAACAACAGGTATTACAGAATGGATATAGAATCCTTGGAAAGAATTCAGAGGAGAATGACAAGACTAATCCCGGGCATTAGGAACCTTGAGTATTGAGACAGGTTAAAGCATCTTAATTTGCACTCCCTCGAGAGACGTAGAGTGAGGGGCGACCTGATAGAGGTGTATAAATGGAAGGCAGGGCTAAACAAAGGGAACATTACAAAGGTACTCAAACTATCCAACCAGGAGCAAACTCATAACAATGGTTTTAAATTAGACAAATTAGATTTAGGTGCGAAATAGGTAAACACTGGTTTGGTAACAGAGTAGTGGATGAATGGAACAAGTTAACAAATAACATCATTAACTCGAATGCGCTGGATAGCTTCAAACATAGGTTGGATGCTTATATGAGCAATAGGGGTTGGGTGTAAACGGGACTGCCCAGTATGGGCCAATAGGCCCACTGCAGTTTCCTTCATTCTTATGTTCTTATGTTAACAGATAAACACATAGCATGATAACACAGGACATGATAACAACAAATAAACACAAGACATGATAACACAAGGCATGATAACCGATGATTCACAGATTCTTTAAGACGCCACCATTATATCACCCTACACAGACCAGTCGATGGATCCAATGACTGTAAGCCACGAGTAGCCACCGCCCTCCCTCCCTGTAGTCAATGGGTGTTGTGTTCATATCGATATCTTGAATTCGTAATCACCTCAAGTCAAGAATGTTGCTTAAGTCGGAATATAGAGGAATTTCGTATAACAAAAGGCTGTAGGTAGAGATAATGTAGAGTCTTGACAAAAGGCCAATGTTTTTTTTCCGGATTATTAATAGTAGAGGAAGCTATCACTGGACCTCCTGATTCTCATATTCAGTCACACTTTACTTCCACACTCACCTGACTGTCACACTCGCCTGTATTCTACAATCTTACACCGGAAATGAGTAATCAAATCCTATTGTTTCAGTGTGTTTTGTTTATTCCCGTGTAGATGATAAAATACAGTAAATTAAAGTGACTCCCCTGTGGACAATCATCTTTGTGAAGGAGAGTAGCTTTCGTGCAGCGTTGGATGGGGTCGCCCCCACCAAGAGGGTCGTGATTGAGGAGTCAGCTGCCTAGTCCTTCAGTTCTGGTGCTTATATCGCTTATTTCAACATCTTATGACTTCTTCTGTCACTCGTATTATAAAGGGAAAAAGTCTGCTGTCTTTCTTTAACAGACACCAGAAGGAGACAAGAGGCCTTAATATGTGGTGCTACTGCAAAGTGCTTGAAATTAGTTTTACTAATTAAATGAAAACGTACTAAGATTGGCTAGAACAGCACGAAGAACAATGAAAGTTTATATAAAAAGAAAAGTGAGATACTTTGGTCATACAATTAGAGATGATGGTAGTGATGCTAATGAGTAAATTGAAGATATGAGGGAAATGCTGAGATAATATAAGAAAATAAGAATGGAGGAACCTGCAGCGGGTCTATTGACCTATACTAGGCAGCCCCGTTTACACCCATATCCGTCCAACCTATATTTGAAGCTATCCAGCGTGTTGGAGTTGTTGTTGATGATCGGTAATTTGTTCTACTCATCCACTACTCTATTTCGCGCTCATACCTAACTTTTTTTTATAATTTAAAACCATTGCTAAGAGTTCGCTCCTGGTTGGATAGTTTGAGTACCTTTGTTATATCACCTTTGTTTAGCCCTGACTACCATATATACACCTCGATCACATCGTCCCTCACTCTACGTCTCTCGGGGGAGTGCAAATTCAGATGCTTTAGTCTGTCTTCATACTCAAGGTTCCCAATGCCCCGAATTAGTCTTGTCATCCTCTTCTGTAGTACGGTGACCAAAACTGAACTGCATAATCCAAGTGAGGTCTCACAAGCACAAGACATTATTTTAGGATAACTTCGCTAGTCTTGGAATTAACATTCCTTTGTATGAATCCAAGTACTTTGTCAATCTTGTTTCGAGCAAATGCACATTGTTGTGTTGGTTTAAAATTCTCTATAACGCTGTTCATTTTGTATCTGGTTTCTCTGTTTACATCTCCTAGGCTAAATACTTTACATTTATCCACATTAAATTTCATATGGCATTTTTCAGACCATAAGATTTTTTTTCTTCTAGATTTTCCGGTAGTTTTGCAAAGTCCTCGTCAAATTTAATTCCACACCCTATTTTAGTGTCGTCAGCAAATTTACTTATGTTGGGATTTATGAATGAAATTGAAAGTTGTGGTCCTCAGAGAGATACAAAAACTAGGAAGATTAGCAGAGAGCCTGAAAGCCTTTGGAGTGGCGAACCATAGTCGCCAACCCTCAGACGTTGGGGGTGTCGCCTTGATGATTAATTCCTATAATGTGTTTGGATTTGGGGGGTTTCAGAAGTGGCTTATGATTCGACCTGTTCTAAAATCTGGAAAATCGCTGACCTTGCCACCCCTTTCAACTCACCTACACTGACGTCACCGACGCTGGCATCTCTACTGCCGATGCTGAGAGGCACTGAGGGTCTCCTAAAGTAGGTGATGCGTACCCAGACACACGCCGTCACCTGGGGTTTCGTCAGTTGTAGGTCCTCCTCGCTCACAAAGCTGCCGTTGTCGGACAGTAGGTGTGGGGACAGGCGGTAGTGGACCCCTTCCTCCCCCGACCCCGGCTCTGTAGACGAAACAAGAAGCGTGTGACTGCTGTGGGGATAAAAACAAACAAGACTTTTCAACTATTACATGGCCGAAGATAATCTCAGCAGTCTCCATCATACATGCATTTTAAATAATTGGGCAGCGTTGGGAAAATATTTTGACAAGTAAATATATTAAGCTGCGCAAGAAAGTAGAACCAGTTAATATAAAGTGCACCAGATATCACCATAAAGTATTTAGAATGTGTGAGAATGTATAGAAATTGTATGTTTCATTAATAGATATTCAAAATTTCTGAAAGAGTTCCAGTTGTTCCTCGTAGGGGTAGCGACAAATGGTTTCATTGGTACTGTACGCCCACGAGGCCACAACGCCTTCATTTTGGATTTTAAACTTCCTCTTTAATTGTCTTTCAACTTCACTTAATATTATCTCATTTTGATCAAATTTCATTAAGTGAATGACCACGATGAGACACCAGGCAGGTTCAGTGACATACCCGTAACATCCACGAGTCATTGTGTTACTCCTGTCACGTACTCAAGAGCCTCCTGTCACCGGTCTCACGTACAGTATATTGTCGCTAAAAAGTGATGGAACATATATAATATTGAGAAAATAATTAGATACTTTCTTTGAATAAATTATGAGATACTTTAACTACTCGAGTGTTTTCCTTTATAGTAAGATGAGACAGTTACCCGACACATACTGGATCCCATCAAAGTCCTTCACTCTCGTTATCCTGACTACTTAATACCTCATTACCTGTACTTGGCACCCCCCTCACCTGACACCCCCCACCTGACACCCCCCCACCTGACACCCCCCACCTGACACTTCCCCACTCTGACACCCCCCCCACCTGACACTCCCCCACCTGACACCCCCCCACCTGACACCCCCCCACCTGACACCCCCCCACCTGACACCCCACCTGACACTCCCCCACCTGACACCTCACCACACACACCCCACCTGGACACACCTCTCTAATTTGACACCCCCCACCTGACACACCCCACCTGGACACACCCCCCACCTGGACACACCCCCACCTGACACACCCTCACCTGACACACCCCCACCTGACACACCTCACCTGACACACCCCCCCACCTGACACCTCTCTACCTGACACCCCCCACCTGGACACACCCCCACCTGACACCCCCCCACTGACACACCCCCTCACCTGACACCCCCACCTGACACCCCCCCCACCTGACACCCCCACCTGACACCCCCACCTGACACCCCACCTGACACCCCCACCTGGACACACCCCACATCTGACACACCCCATCTGGACACACCCCCCACTCCTGACACACACCCCCCCACCACCTGACACCCCCCACCTGACACCCCCACCTGACACCCCCACCTGGGACACCCCCCACCTGACACCACACCACTTGACACCCCCCACCTGACACATTCCCCCACCTGACACATTCCCCACCCCACACATTCCCCACCTGACACATTCCCCTCACCTGGACACATTCCCTCACCTGACACATTCCTCACCTGACACCCTCATGTGACACACCACCTCATCTGACACACCACTGGCACACACCAACCTCAACTGACACACACCCACCTGACACACGCCCACCTGACACACGCCCCCAACTGACACACACACCACCGACACACACCTCACCTGACACACCTCACCTGACACACCCTCACTCTGACACACCCTCACCTGACACACCCCTCACCTGACACCCCTCATCTGACACACTCACTTGCACACACACCAATCCCAACCACACACACCCTCACTCTGACACACCCCATCACCTGACACACCCCATCACCTGACACGCCCCCTCGCCTGACACACCCTCGCTCTGACACACCCCTCGCCTGACACACCCCCTCGCCTGACACACCTCCTGCCTGACACACCCCCTGCCTGACACACCCCCTGCCTGACACACCCCTGCCTGATACACCCCTGCCTGACACACCCTCGCCTGACACACCTCGCTTCCACACACCCCATCACCTGACACACCCTCACCTGACACACTGACACACCCCCTCACCTGACACACCACCTCACCTAGTCGTCAACATTAGCCGACGGGTATAAAATATTTCTCCCCCAGTCCATTACACTCAAAAATCCAGAAATGTTCCAAACTAGTGCGTCATTGAGGGCTGTGTCGAGTTACCTTGGCATTTCCACATTTTGTAAAGGAGTTTGTGGGTTCACACATTCTAGTGAATTATTACGAGGATAATATACGAGGTGATGTCTCCAAAGGGGCCACTGTGCCTCGGGGCCATCTTTGTTCAATCGTTCCAGGGTGTGACGTGATGTTGATCTGACCTTAAGATGACATTATAAGCTGTGGCAATATGTTCGAAGAAGTTTCTTAGAATAACATTCTAAGCTGTGATAAGCTGTTAGAAGCAGCTGCTTAGAATTATATTGTAAAGTAAGTCCACTTGCCAGGATAAACTGCATTTGTTTATATTTGGTGGTCAGCCGACAGTTCCATAAAGGCATTAACTAGATAGGTGCTGTGTACGAGTCCCATCTTCGTACAGGTGTCATGGAGTCTTGGAGAAGATTTTGACAAACTCAAACACAGGATAAATGGTCTTTCTTTCTCTACGGGAGATATACTGTAGATTGAGTGTGTGGGGGTGATTGAGCTTACACATGCACACACACACACACACACACACACACACACACACACACACACAGTAAGTACCATGAGAGGCCATGGATGGCCCTCTGACTAGGTAAGGTCCCTGACCCAGATGCCACCGGTCAGTGCTCCACACTATCCGAAACCGATGACTTGCCTGTGTGCGCCCATGTGTACGTGTGTGTGTTTTTGTTTATTCGTTGATTTTCTTGTTTGTTAAGTTTGTATGTGTGAATGTTTTCTTTCAGGTTCGAAGGGTTTATGCATTTTTGGTGTTTTATATTGTGTAATTTTGTTTGTGTGAGTAAGATAATAATAATTAGTGGTTAAAAAATACAGCAGTCATAAACTGAATAAGTAAGATAAAGATGAGAAGGTCATTTAACAAGAAGTTTAAGCGTAGTAAGAGTCCAGAAGGAAGATGGGCAAGATAGTGACCACAATTTATTTACGAATTGTTGATGATTTTTACAATGATAAAAATTGGGCTGGTTGTGTTGCGATCAGTACGAAGTCTCGCGTGTGTGTGTGTGTGTGTGCGCGCGCCTCCAGGGACCTAGTGCGTGTAGTCATAGTCAACGCGACCGACCAACTGTGAACCAGATGAAGGTGGGAAGACCTGTGTGAGGAGATCAGCCGCGTCAAGAGCCATCGCGCCACAACCCTGAACCTAAACTAACCTACCCTAACCTATTTTATTCTGCACTACCCTAGCAAAACTAAAAAAAAATATAAGTTAACCTAATTTAACCTGTACTCGCATTAATCTAACCCAACATAACCGACTTAACCTAACCTAACCTAACCAACCTACTTACGTAACCTACCCTAACCAACATACCCTAACCAACATACCCTATTCATCCTAACCTATTCAGTTTATTGAACTTTAACCTTGCCAGTTTATCTACAGTGACTTAACCCTTCTACCTAACGTATCCTATCTATCTTCTCTAAATTAACCGAACCAAGTAACCATGCAGTCTACTTAACCTTATCTGAACAAATCTCCCGAAATTAATCTAAATAAATCTGTCATTAAATATAACTAATCTATCTAAATAAACCTAACCAGTCTACCTATCCTAACCAATCTAATTTAACCGAGTAAAGCTACAGTATATAATTTAACAAAACCAATCTTTCAAAATTAATTTAACCTATATCAACATTTAACGAACCTTAACCTAACCTAATCTGTGCTTCCAATACCGTACGACAATTCATTGCTTAAATTGCTAGGGAACATTAAACTGCTAGGAGATGTGAGCACGGGGGTCGAGGAGACTGCAGTGCACACGCTGAGACAAAACGAATGGTTATATAGAACTCGTGCTTGGAATGATGATAAAGCTAAACTAGTCAGAGAGTTAAAACCTAAATGCAATATTGAGAGGACTCGGTTTACGACAAAGTTAAATGTCTACTCAGCAAACAGTAAAAGTATGAACATGAGAAAATAAGAATGGAGGAATCTGCAGCGGGTCAATTGGCCCATAATGGACACCCAACCGCTATGGATTATACGGTATATCCATCCAACCTATGTGTGAAGCCATCCAGCATATTCGAGTTAATGATGTTTGGTAACTTGTTCCACTCATCAACTATTCTATTTCGAAACCAATGTTTACCTATCTCGATCCTAAATCTAAGATTGTCTAATTTAAACCCATTGCTACGAGTTGGCTCCGGGTTGGATAATTTGAGTACATTTGTTATATCACCTTTGTTACATCACCATTGTTGAACCCTGGCTTCAATTTATACACCTCTATCATATAGCCCCTCACTCTACGTCTTTCGGCAAGTTCTCTATAATAAAGGTTCCTAATGCCCGGGATTAGTCTTGCCATTCTCCTCTTTATGGTTTCTATGGATTCTATATCCACTCTGTAGTACGGTGAACAAAACTGAACCGCGTTATCAAGTGAGGTCTCGCAAGCTCAAGGTATAGTTTTAGGATAATCTCGCTAGTCATGTAACTAACACTCATTTTTATGAACCCAAGTACTTTGTTAGCCCTGTTTCGAGCAAATACGCATAATTGTGCCGATTTCAAATATATAATTATTATTACCCACTGAATCTTTCTCAAAGTCCGATTTCTCTATATCAACGTTGTTCATCTGATATCTGATTTCTCTGTTTACATCTCCTAGACTAAGTACTTCACATTTGTCCACATCAAATAATTTTCAACTGCCATTTTGATCTTCCTGTAGTTTTGCCGAGTTTTCGTTAGATTTAATTACACGTTCTATTTTAGTGTCGTCAGCAAATTTATTTATGTTGCTGTCTACGCCGATATCTATGTCGTTTATGTATACGATAAATA